TAAAGTTAATAATAATAATAATAAGTTAATAATGTAAGTTTATTTTCGGGACAATTGACCGTCCCGAAACATCGGAACGGGACACCGATCAAAACGAATCCAGGAAAAAAGAGCAAAAAAAAACACATAATTTTTTCCCAACACCGCAGACTTTAAATAATAATAATATATTCTATTATGTAAAAATAAATTTATTATAAAAATAATGATTTATAGTAATTGAAAGTAATTAAACTTATTTTTGGATTTCATCAGTAGTCAGCTCATAAGTCAAGTGAGCTTTAGTATAATAATAAACCACAATTATACATTAAACTTTTAATTAAATTATATGTAAGTAAATACTTACGCCTATACTCAAAGTCCAAAGCCCAAAGGCATAACTACCTAATAACTATATTATAGTTCTAGAACAACATCGTTTACTTCTATCGTTAAAATATTTTGCTATATATTAAGTCATATTAAGTAATAGTTGAAAAAATGGATTTAATCGGAGAGAACATAGGGAAAAGGAAATTTCGTTGAAAAGGTAAACATTGTGTTGTTTAAAACTTAACTAAAACCCGACTTATTAAGATGTTTGGAAAAAACAATTTTGTCCTTTACTTTTTAGTTTTTTTTTGTTTTTAGTCTCTTTTTTATTACCATTCAAAACTCGTTAKTACAAAACTACAGCTTCTACCAAACCGTGACGTTTTAGGTAACCATATATAGGTACTAATCGGGCATTAATGCATTATTATTGTCCGTTGTTGATTATATCCCGTTTAAGCCGAATTAATATTGAATGCCGCAAATGCACTACGATTTTTTCCGTCTACAACACGCACATAAATACATGGACGGAAACGGATATCTGGTATAATTATTGGTAGAGGGTAGGACGGTTAGGTAATATTTTTCAGCACGCATAGACATAAACAATTGTTTTGCTTTAAATTAATGGTAATAATTTTGTAACAGATAAAATAGTTAACRAAAATCTGAAGTTTTTGAAGTTTTTTATATGAAAATGTACAAGCATTTTTATTTTAATCCTGAACAAGAATATTTTTTTGTACATTTCAATGTAAAAACTGAGGAAGTCGCTGTGCTGTATAATAGAAGATTTTTGAGTTACCTCGTCATCATTGCGAGTATAGGTCACCCTATAGGTGACTCATTGTACTTCCTATAGGTATGATAATGGATGCGTTCAAATTGAATTAAATGATTCTAAACAGAAAACTGTACCTCCCAGGATATATTTATAAATTGTTTATATAAGGTTCAATTAGAATTTAGAAATCTATTTTTCAATAGACATATGGTATGCCATTATGTTGAAATAATATTCGCCCATATACATATATATTTATAATAAAGACTATTATATTAGGTACCTTCCATTAATTATCAAACTATTGTATCATATATCATTTTTATTAATTTATAAGGCAATGCCGACTTGTATATTATAAATAGAACGGCGTAAGGTACATAAATGGCTCAAAATGATTTTTAATATGTTGAACATTTCATCTTTTGACTTATATAGAAAATTGTATTATACGTAAACGTAATGG